TTAGTTATTTCGGAAAGGCGCCAGTAAAAGTTAGCACTAATCTCTCAACGCATTTCTCGTGAGCCTGAGAACCAAACCCAGGTTTGGTTCCCAGGCTCACCCAAGGACAATTTCCTCATCTCTAAAAAAGGAAGAATAAAAGTGGCCAAGTCCAGCCTTCAGCCTCTAATCCAAAAAGTTGTAATGGTCAATTGAAAATCACAAGTTTTTCACTCTGCGTTGCGCTGCTGACCTGATCAGATCTCCGGAGAACTTGTTCACGTGCAAAATCACCAATTCCAAAATTGGTCTCTGAATCGTTACTTCTTGCAAAAATTACTCCGGATTGTTTGTCTTTGCTTGCCATATTTTGTGCTAATATATCATCTTAAACTAGGATGAAAGTCCCGGCCACAGCCCGGCTGACTGAATTGTGTTTTCATTTCTCCTAGTTGGAAAACTCATTTGAAGGCTCTTTAGCCCTTCTCAAATAGTTTATCAAGAACAATAAGCTGTTAGCCCAGAATCAAAATCTAGCTCTTTAAAATTCAGATTCTTTTTTTGCCTTTTGTGTGGTTGAGAAAATCCTTCAAGCTCTTTTCCTCACAGAAGAGATCAACAATCTTCTGAAAATCATTCAGTAGAATCTCGTTAAAAAAGGCTTCGTTCTTTGAAGTTAAATTAAATTTGCATTGTGGCTGTTGGACATGGACAACAACGAAATTCCTTGTAAGCATTTATTCGTTATTTGTACGAAATTCGTTGCAACGAGATTCTACTGTACATGATTTCCGGTAGTTCAAATCCTTTTCTGAAACGATGAGGTTGATGCTGGGCAAGAAGTAAAGCATTTGATTTTTTTCTTTTCTACACCAGTTCGCTGCACTAATTCGAATGTCCATATTTTATTTTATTTTTCAAATGAAGAATGCTGTTCAAAGCGATGATGAGCCCTTATCCCCACCATTCACGGCGAGTTTAAAACATGTTCTGAATTCCTGAAATGTATAAAACCGGAAATAGAGACAAAAGGCAAACATGTGCCAAATTGGAGCATGAGAATTGTTTTTATTAACTCGCTTTCTTGTCCATTTGTTTGTCCTGATCAAATTTTGCAACTCAAATTTTGCTCACTTCCCAACTAGCTATTGGTTTTTTAGATTAATTTTTTAATCTACTAAATTTTTTAGCTGTTAATCTTTGCTATGAAACTACAGACGTTTGAATGTCCAATACTTCCATTTGAAACACAGGTGAATTACCTTTGACCCAAGGTATCATTTACACGAATCTGGCTGAGAGCGTTGAGCATAGAAATGAGAGTGGATGGGTCAATTTTTATTTGCCTTGTATATGTTATCTGTTTGTCCGAAAAGTTTCAAGAGAAGAAGGCTCGGATCCCATGCTTGCGAGAAAAAGGAAAGATTTGAGTCAGCTGCGAGAATAGGCACATTCTGAAGATTCCGGACTTGGCAGGATTAGGCCAATCGATTCTGGCAAGGAAAGCCTAGGGCTCTTTGGCAAAAATATTCTGCAAAACTGCATGTGCCGCTTTTCCGCGTCATGAAAACCACGCTCCCGGAAATCCGGGTGGGTTCTGTTCTTGGATAGGGGAGGCAGTATTCTAAGACAGGGGCGCGGAAAAAGTGCCCTAGAAAGGCCATTTATTGCTTCCACTTCTCCTCGCAAATAACCAAGGGGAAGAATTCCCCCATCGTTCCGCGTCAAGGCATTTCTTTGGCATGTGATGCAAATTTTTCTCGCGCAATTCTCAATGTTCAGCTTTCCTCGTCCTCTGTCGAGAATGAGCTGAATCTAGAAAATATCATCGGTAACTCCACACTTTTTTCACGATGTTTTGTTTCTCTTCGTTCATCAAGGATGGCATTATTTCGCTTCCATTTAAAAATGGCTCCAGAAATCTTGTAAGGAATAGACTTCGACGCGTAGCATTTGATTTTCCTCGTCACTATACACAAGTTCAAAATGAAGAATTAAATTTCCTTTTCTTTCGTTCCTCCCCATTGGAAGTATATCTAAGCGATGGATTTTTCCCGCCCAGTGTTACTTGCAAATCCGCGGGTCGGGTTTTCAGGATCTCTGGAAGACGGATTGGGTGTCGTCAGATTGCGACGATGCGTTTTTTTTTTCTTCACTTTTTTGGGGGGTGGGATCCCGGTCACTGCTAATAACGCGAGAAAGAATTCGTCGACAGTTCCGAAGACTCTTCGCCAACAAACCCAAGTGACTTCATATCTCTCAAGTGTCTTGACAGCCCCGACAGTTCATTGAACAATTTTGAAGCCACTCGACTCTGCCCGGGTCGGGAGTAAAGAAGGAAAATGTTTTTCTCAGCCGGAATGTCGGATCATTTGGCTCGTAATGCACGTCTACTTTGTACGACATTCGTTAATTTTTGGCCGTGAAAGCGAACAGAATGCGAAGGAACATGTTGGTCTCAACGCACAAGCCTAATTTCGTGAATTTCTGGCAGGTGCGTCACCTAAATTACTGATATGAACCAAATAAAAATAAAATTGAAATAACCGGAGTGAAAAAAATCCCCCATAATTTGCAACAATTTGAAGAAAAAAATATAGCGTTTCGATGAAGAGAATCATCGAGTCTAGTGTATCAAATTTCATTTGGAAATGGCTAAATTAATAGAGGGTCTGAAGTGCGTCAAAATAAAGCAGTAACTCAGAAATAATTGAAATAATTCAAATTGCGGTATTTTTGTCTGGTTTTTCATGATAACTAAAGACAGCTCACGTCAGGTAGAAATCCAGGAGAAAAAATGTCCAGAAACTCCATAAATCGACTACGCTTCGCAACTTATGATGGCTGTAAGATGTGAACACGTTTCGTATTCTGGACTAGCACCCAGTGTATCTCAAATCCCGGGTTTTTTGCTCTGGAAGAAAACTTCACTTATACGATAATCAGACCCGCTGTTTCTCAGATAACACGCCGGTCTTATTTCCCGGAAAAGCCTCAAGGTGACGGCACAAAGTTATATGCCACGGGAAAATAATGAATTACTTCCGGTCCAAAAAAAAAAAAAAAGAAGAAGAGCGCCACGTGGTGGCTTGTCACCGCCCTCACGCCACACGGAAGAAAGCGTTGTTATTCCGAGCAAGGAGTCAGCCAACTTTTCGGATTTTCCGAAAGTGCCTCAGGCAGGCCAGAAAGAAATCCTTGATCACGTTATCGAAAGAACACGTGGCGTAAGTTCGGGTTGGGGTTTTCCAGAGCATTTGTGCTTGGCTTATGCTGATCACATACTGCACTTGACGAGTGTGCTCAGTCACGCCTGAAAGCTAGGTAAATTAGCAACAAGAAAATCACGCCCTCGAGGATTTCCCCACAATATGCCCATGTCTTCCATGCTACATTCAAGAGTCATTTTGAGAAAGAGAAAAAGGTTTGGCGAGTTGTAGCGTATACTTGGTCTAAAAATAAAGTACTATATACTGTAGTACAGTACTAAAATGTAGAAACATTCTGCTCCAATACAGTACTTGCTCCCGTCGCACAAAAGCTCCGAGAGAATTTGCCACAATGAGGTTAACTACCTCGTAGGACTCTGAGGGGTCCTCAAAAAGGTATTTCGGCACGGAAAAATGGCAATGAAATTGACGTTGTACTTGTAATGTGTTAAAACGAGTCTATTATTAATAACGGCTGGTTTATCAGTTTTGTAAAAAATGAAAGAATGGGATGTTTGGATTCAGAAATCTGCTTTATCTTACATAAACTCATCGATGAACGTTCCTTTACAGAGCAGTTAAATATTCTGTCAACATACTTGAGATTATTTAACTTCTCAAGTTTTTCGAAATTATAAATTCAATTGAGTTATCCGGTGACCAGAATTAGACACAAGCCGTTCATCATGCTGATCAATACGAAAACTATAAAATGAAATTATTTTTTTCATTTTCAACGGATTTTCTCCAATTTCAGCTTCGAGATGGACGCTTCAGTTTTTTGCCGTTGACATCTCAAGACAAGCTTTAATAACACCTGGCTCACCATCATCACATGACTTTTAGCACATGGCTGTTTTCATGTTTTTTTTCGTCATTACGTGCTTCAGCCAAGAATACTGTATCCAGAAAATAATCGGAAAATGCAACCAAAACGGGTAGAGGTTTTTCACGCGAAAATGATGTAAAATTTCAACTCTATTGCTTTCTGTCCGTCTCGAACCGGAAAAGCAAAAGTGTTAGAAGGTTTCAAGATAAGAATAAGCTTTATTTTTGGAAAAATAATCGGTGCATTCATAATGAAAATATCCAATAAATGATAGTAAAAATTTTAAAGTAGGTTCGACGCAGCCTTCGTATGTCTTAAACATATCCACTTCGTCGTAAAAAGGATTACACGAGATATTACCAAAGATGCTACTTCAAGTCTCTGCAGGAATTTCCCTTAGGGATCCCTGTTATCTGGTTCTCGACTTTGAATTCGAAAAGCCTTTTTGTTATTGCACGCCGAATTAGCGTTACCACGATCAATTAGCCTTTGAAGTGTAACCTGCACCTGCCTTCGACTTCCCAAAAACTACTCCCTGAAAAAAATCTGATCTGCCAAGAATTTTTACAACGAACAAAAACCCCGCTTACTTTTCAAGCATGAGATACTCAGACTTCATATGAACAGTTTCATCAGTTATGCTCGCAAAAGTTGGATTCTTGTAAAAATAATTGTCCCTTTCAAACCGGATTCAGAAAAGTGACGCCGCAAAAAATAAATAAATAAATAATACATAAAAACAGCAGGGAAACAAGCTTCAGGGCAGTTTCCAGTAGTACCTAATGCTAAATGAACCTTTAGAACCTAAGCAGCTGAGTAGTCAATAACAAGCGTGAGAAGCCCTCTCGCCTCATAATACAGCAGATTACAGTGAAGAAGCGTACGTTCGTTTGTCTTGCTCTATATGCTCCGAAATCGAACGACAGTATTTTCCAAAGGTTTGAAAAAAACAATGAGAGAGGAAAAGTTAATAATGAGCTCACCCAGCATCTTGACGACGGCTTCCCTGGATTTATTGTTGCTCTTGTCGTGGCGCTGACTGTTCCTCGTCCCGCGCCCGTTCTTTTCCACCTTGAAACTCGTGCGACGGAGCTGGAGCCCGAGCCGGACGTACAGAACGGAAATAATGACCATCGGGGCCAGGAAGAAGAGGTAAGATGAGATCTGAAGCATAAACTGGGACCAGTGTTTCCAGTTCTGGGCCACTCCGCAGAAAGTGAGGTCGGCTATCGGCACGTCGCCGTTCATCTCCCGATTGAGTCTGATGGGAATGACTTGCGGGACGGCCATGACAAAAGCCCCGATCCAGATCCCGAGAATTATCTTCACGGATCTGCAATAAATTCCGAAACCTCGTCACACACCATGAAAACGTTCATCTCGGCAGTCTAGACACGTCCGCGTAGAGTCGATGAACCTATAAGAACGTTCAATCACAATCCCGCACCGAAATGTCGGTTTATCTCACGAAATATCTAGAACCCTATGTAAACATGCCACGCGAGAAAAAAGCATGAAAGCCTGGAAAGCAACACTGCACAGAACCACAGCCCTGGAAAAACAAGCTCCGAGGGGAACCCCGGCAGTACCCAAGTCGGTCAGTTAGACTGGGTTGCATAAATTTTCCCATCAAACCCAAATCTACAAGGTGGAGGCAAACTTCAACCTGAAACAATAATTATTTCCACGGTTTTCAAGTTCGTTGTCTAAATTGGTCCCTGAAAAAAAAAATGAACGTCAGGTTCATGTCACAAAGATGAACTTTGTGAATAAATCTGCCAAATTCTCGTAGAATAAGACACTTTTCATAAATCTTTCGGAAATAATGAGCAGAACTGTCGCAAAGAAGCGAATACATCATGCTTTGGGACCAGAGCTTTGAGACTGAGACGTGAAGCTTGAAAAATTTCTCTACAAATGATGAAGAAGCTGCGTGTGGATGATGAAAATGCGATTTAGAAATTTTGCATGCTAATAAGCTAGACGAAAGCAAACCAAGTAATTTTACGCTAAGCACAGAGCCTCCAAAAATAATTTAGAAAATCGCATCGGACATCTTCCAGACTTTCAGAAGAGTTATTTTGGATTCAATGCATTCTTTTGTCGACATTTACGTACAATACTAGCCCCATGCAGACTCAAATCGAACAACAAATTTGATACCAGTGATGTGGTATTTATTATGTACCGTGTTTTTCCTCAAGTGCTACGCAATTTCTCTGAAAAAAAATGATATCAGAGAAAAGATAGGATTTGCCGAGTTTTCAAAAAATTCCACATGCTATACTCCGTGGAAAGAGCATTCGATGGTAATGAGTTTGAATCATTTTGTGTGAAATAGATTTCAAGATTTATAGTTGGTTTGGAAGACCATGTCAAGCACTGCTGATGAAAAGAAATACACCTGCTCAAGGAGAAATGTTGAAACTTCTGACATGAGGTCTGAAATTATTAAAATTCCCAGAGTCAAAAGCTACATTCCGAACACTGACATTACATTACAATCACGCATGTTTTTTTTTTTAGTAAGCTGAACTCCACAGTTAAGACCAACTCAAGGTCCATGAAATTCCTTTCAATTGGACAGCTTGACATAAATTAAGACGCTTATGCATATTTTCCTTTGCCCCTTATACAGTATCTTTGCTGCACCGATTGAAACTCAACTTCACAAAAAGTTTATGTACATCAATATTTGAAAAAAAAGTTCAGAAATAGGGGCTATTGACTACTTATTTGAGGTTTTTTGTTACATTATTTGCAACGTACGAACAAGCTTCTTCTGATAATCTAGTCACTCTCAGAAACGGGTCAAACCAGTATATGCCAAAATAGCGCATGCCAAAATATCACGGGCAGAAGAGCATGTTGATATGGGAGCAATTATAACAAAATACAAGAACTACGAGCCTCTTGAATAATTCGTATGCTGATTAAATAAATTGTATACCGAATTAAGGGCCTTAAATCATCTACAGACATCCAATTCCTTTGAAAATAATTCAACGTGCTGACGAAACTCTCATCATTACATAAATTTCGCAAATGATTTTTTTTTTTCAATTGTTTTACCCCTTATTGTACGTGTCTTCTGTCACATGTTCCTTTTATCCGTAACAGAGGATTCGCGGGACCCGGGTTCCATCCTCGAATCCCGCTCAGTACAAAGACGCAATGACACCCGACTAAATGGACTGGAAACGGAAACGCGGTTTGTTCACGTCGAGTGACACGGTGAGGGATCCTCGGACTGTTCGACAGTGACAGTCCCGACGGCGCGCGATTTTGGCACAGCTCCGTCCACCGCCAACACGAACCCTGACCTGGCGTGAAAACGAGAGGGGCTCGATACCCGTCATCCGACGAAACTCGTGGATTCACTTGTAGCATTTTTGCATGGTTTCCGTCATGTCATCACCACCGGGTTCTTTTTGTGTGTTTTGTTTCAGAACGACCGATTTAAACTGTTGAGGCTTCTCGACAGCTGAACAGATTTAGACGAAAAGCACGTTTTATTCTATTTCGAGTCTAGAGTAGACAGTTCCAACAAGATTTTTCTCCAGAAAGCTCTTTTCTATTGTTTTGCGAAAACAGGAATTAATTTTGAGTTATTGAACTATATTCAAGGTTCGCCCATAATTCGTTTATTTATCATTTTTAGAAGAATGCACATCCTATGGAAAGTTTTCAAAAGCAGTTGCGACGGCTTTCGTAAAGTTATCACCAGAAGACTTTTTTCGCATTTCAAGGGCACAAGTTTAACTGTTGACGAGTCTGATCAAAAGCTGGAAACTTTTCAAAAGTTAGATTTCTGAGAATCTACTCCTTCATTCTACGCGGTATTCGAAACAGCATTTTAGCTCGAAATCCAAGCATACTTAGTCAGCCTCTTGAATAATGAGTACCTCGAGGAGAACTTTCTTGAAACAAATCAATATACAGTAATAATTTTGTGATTTTCCATCATTTGTTCATTCTTTTGCCTTTTCCTCTAGATTTAAAGATCACGAGTTGAGCTGCTCTTCAGTCAAACAGCTGGACATGATTACGGAAGCATTTGTCATCATCTCAGATCTAGGAAAATGTTCCTTTTAATTTCCTGGAAAAGCCACTTCATCATAAAATGGATCCTTTCAATCCTTCAACACTGTGCATATAAGTATTTAAATATGTTACTCCTTCTACTGCAGCGACTACGATCCTCCGTTCCGCCGTCTGGTGAAAAGATTTCGCGGAAGAGGCTCCAGTTCCCAGACCGGAATAGACCTCGCTGCTCTTTCAACCACGCGTAATTGTTAACAAGAAACAATACTGTCTTCACAGCGTATCCAGAAAAAAACTGGGTCAGTGACGGACACCAGGAGAGAAGAACCTCCGCCCGGAGTTATGACAGATCATTGTGTGGATGAGATTAGGATCCCCGTCGGATTCGACGCTATTAGGACAGCGGAACTGACGGGATCCCACAATAGCTTCGGCTCCAGAGGAACTCACAGGCTCCAGTACTCGGGGAGAAGGATCCTGCTGGGGGCTATATGCCGGTGTCGCAAACACATTTTTTTGCTATCCATTACTTCAACACGCTTCACTCATTCCAGAGAATATTTTTTCTGGAAAATTGAGCAAGAATCCCCAAAGAAAATGTCATCAAGTTATCTTCGACAGTTGGACTGACTTAAGTAGCGAGACCCGATTATTTTTCCGAAAGCCAGTATCAAATTTGAAAAGTATATGATTTTGAATCAGAGGATTAAGATCCATACAAAGGATCGCTTATGCTCATGATTCATTTTAAAAATTGGGTCAGCCAATTTCGAATATAGCACCAGGAAAAAAAAGAATCAAGCACATTTGCACCCCTTCCTTCTTCTACCTCAGAGTAATGCATTTTTTTTTCTGCGCTATGTGGGATCCTGAAAGAAGGATCCGTGTAATTGTCAGTGATGTCCCGATATCATTAATTTTCAATGAAAAGCTTCCATCGGATCATCTTTGATCTCTGAGTTTACAAATGAGGAGGACCACCGAATTTGCTTGAATCCAATATAAAATCAGAAACATGTGATTTTGAACCAGAAGATTTAGAGATCAATACTAAGAACCCTTTAGGTTTATAATGCATAAAAATGTTTTAGCCCAATTCCGATAGAACCAGGAAAACAAGCGTCAACCACATTTGAATCCTTTCCTTCCTCAAGCATTGCATTTTGTAATTTTCAGCGAAAGCCAGAATCCCGCAAGAATGATCCGTTTAAATTGTTAGTGCTGTCCCAAAATTCTCAATTTCTAAGCGTTGAACAACTTTCAAGGGACTCTCATGAAAGTTTTTTTATATTATTTCCGGAATAGCGCGGGAAGCTAAGGTAACAAGGCTTCCTTTTTTTTGGGAAAAAGAAAAAGCCAAATGTTCTATGGACTGCAGGATATACGGATGATCCTCCACACCGTTTTTAGTACCGCTGCGGGGTCCGTAATTACGAATGGCAGCCAAGTGGGGAGGCGAATGTGGATTATCTCACGGTGTTTGCCCGGCAAAGTGGCCTCATTTGATCAGGCGTCTGTTCCTGCCGGGTCATTGCCGACTCAACCGCTTATTTTTCCCTCGCCGCAATGAGCGTCAGATTGTTACAATGACGACGATCATCAAAAGGATCATCAAAAGGAAATCAAAGAAAATCAGACGGTGTTTCGATTTTGTCGCTGAGCGAGCATAGGTTTGATGGGGCTAAATTTTAATCACAGGGGATCCGATTCGTGTTTAGAGGCGTCCAACTATGAAAGCGATTCCGAGACCACGCGAGGAACAATTAAATCCCTGCCGAATACATCATCCGAAGAAAAAGGCCAGGGAAGTGGATTTCGACCTAATTTTAATTTAAAGAAATGACGCTGCCAGAATGCTCACTTTGAAATACAAGTACCGTCGAATTTCCCTCGAGATTCACGTATTCAAGATCGATGTAGCCTTTGATGCATTACAAAGTAAAGCACACTAATTACATTCATTATGGTTAGAGTATTGCCATGAAGCGAGTGCTAAATCTTCGTCTCGTATCTGTGGTTTTTTTCATGATTTGGTTTGAAAAATTGCGACAGTATCAAGCTTAGCAAGAGTTTTTCATGCGATGGTTTAGGATTTCGTATTTTCCAACACATACTTGAATTTAGTATTTCTGGGCTGTTAAGCTATTCAAGAAAGAAACTGTAAGAGGAAGAACTAAATGCTCGACTCCGGCCAAAGACAACTCCAAATCAAATTCATATGGCCCGGGGTTGTAATGGGGATCAAAGTCATTAAAATCCCGTTTTGTTCTTTTTTAATTGCTTCTGTAA